TGTAGGGTTAAGGGAGATCTCTAGGGCTATTCTGTCCCTGGGAATTAAATGGCTTCTCCCTCTCTTTAGCCCCATCGCCACCTTGTCACTTTCTACATTCTTCCCAAGTGACAGCACCTCTAATCTAAAATGACCCTACAAGTCAGATCTAATAGAATCTTAATCCATTAAGAAGACCCAGAGTGGAACCTCCTCTCCTACAGGAAATTATATCTGTTCTGGAGCTAACACAGTTCAACCACCAGAATGTTGAAAGGTCCTGCTGAATCTAAGAACTATAGAAATCCCTATGAGAGGATGCATAGTGTGAGGCCATGGTCTTTGACTTACAAAATCATGACAGCATAGTCAAACTGATTGGGAAGGAAAGATAGGAGGTATTTTCTAAATGGGAACTTGGATAAAGCTCCTGTTTCTTTTTAACGGCCAATCAAGCTGTCCTCAACGTGCCAACCAAGATTGTTGCAACAAGCATAGTGTTCATAATGAGGCTATTGCCAGCCATTCTGTTTCTGCCTGCCAGTTATAAATCTCTAAGCTAATTCTACTTATCACAAAAATCCTTATGGCTCAAAACCCTAGTTTAGTGAAAACCCCATGATAAATGAAACTGGGGATTTGGTGCCTTCTCATGTATTTCGTTTCTTCCTTTATTTGTTGAAACCACTGATTCTTATGAAACCTGGACAAAAGTGTAGATGCTTTCTAAGGGATCTTTAACATTTAAAATCTCCCCAGGGTTGTACACATATAGTGGTGCTAAAAGCAGAAGGTAAATTGCTGCTCAAAGTGACAAGTTTAGGACTTATGACTCAGCTCATTTCAGATCACAAATAGGCATATGGCACCTGAGGTAGAATAAAAAATACACTCAAGTTGCTGTGATACATCTTTCAGTTATTCAGGGCAATGGCGGGAACAATAATGGCATAAATAACACTGAACCTCTCAGCTACCCGTTCCAACCATTTCTCTTGGGCAAAGTATGTTAGCAATTTACAAAACTCAAAATGATTTGAATGTTTCTTGGTATCTAATATGATGGCCAGAGGGCAGAGTGAAAATAATACTGATAAGAGTATTGCATTAAAAAAAAAATAAGAGAAGCAGAAGTGGAATACTAAGATGAACTAAATTTGGGGGTATGAGTTTCTCAAATGAGTTCTGTTAGCCTGTAGAAACTTTTGAGCTTAGTCAAAGGGAAATAAAAATGGAAAAAGTGTAGAACTTTACTAAGACATTCTGAAAGTCTGGTAGGCAGAAATAGGAGCTCCTTGGCATGTGCAGTTAGCTTTTACAGAGCAGGATGGCAGATCCACAGAGAACATGTGTATTCAGATTGGAAAGTATCTCAAGTAGATAACTGAAAGACAACAGTTCACATAACTTTCTTAAATGGACACATCACCCATACTTGAAAAATCATTTATAAATGTGCAATTGCTTCTATACTCTCAAAACACAGGTAGAAAGATCTGAAGTTCAAGGTCATCCTCTGTTCCATAGCAAGTTTGAGACCAGCCAATGCCACATGGGACTCTAACTGAACAAAAAACCCGAAAACTTTATCAAGCAAAAAAAGCCAAATGCTTTTGTGTGTTTCATCTATTATATGACATGAAATTCCTCATACATCTTTGGCAATTGTGAAAATATTGACTGTCCCATGTTTAAATTAACCTGGAAAAGATGTTTGGACCCAACCTGCTATTTCTCAAATATAATACTTTTTTTTTATTTTTAGTTATTCAAATTAGTAAGGAATATAACCATCTGTTGCCAACATCAATTATTCACATATACTTGAATAACTAGCATATGTATAATTTATATCTACCTTTTCAAAAACAGTAAGCTGCATGTGAGAAAATTAGGCAAGTTAAGATAGGAAAATGAGTTGGAACTCTGAGCATATTTATGCATAAATTTCAAATCATAGAGTCTTACACTGTTCAGGTTGTAAGTTTTCTAGAAGTCATGAAAAACAGAAAATATAATAGTTTCAAGATTAGTTGTTGATAAGTTGAAAAAGAAGGTGTTATTTGAATGTGGTCTGTCAGGGAAGGAAGTGGGATTAGAACACCAGGTAAGATGCTAACAGAGGCAGCTGAATACTTTCAGCTTCTTATGACTAAAATTATCTGAATTTATAAATTTTCTCTGATGCGGTGAGTCTACTGATTTCCTGTAAGAAACTGATGGGCCCCAAAACAGTCCTGATGGTCTTCACTGTCTTTTATTAGTCTGGGTATTGCTCAAGAAGGTATAACTCTCAACTCTTCAGCAGAACTTACTAATAATCTATGTAGATTCCTCTTTGTACTGCAAGCTTTTAAATGTCAAAGACAGAAGCAGATTCATGCAGAACCACTTATTTATGAGAGTTCTCTGGTCTTCTAAGCATTGTTTGTTTGGCTTTTAGCTATCATTAACACTACAAGCTTTAGGGCAAGGAAATTTAATGATTGTTGGGAAGTTGTTTCATCTTATCCTTTGGTGACTCAGTTTCAAGTCTGTAATAATCAAAGCAACATGGCAATCGAACGTGGACTGAACACAATGAATATAGAAAAATACAAACCGTTGGTATTCTCCTCGGTGATTGGAGTGATTTCTTGAGTTTCTACTTTATTCTTTGGGACTGATAATGATTTGAACTCCATATTTTTCCTCACCACATTGGAGGAATCTGAAAACAAACTCATACACATAAAATAAAAATAATAAATAAAATATTTTTAAAAACCCAGTTTCCTACTTAAACTTCAGTTTGTCAAATACTTGATGGGCTATTTATATATATTGTAAATAATTCTTACTTCTGGAAAAATGATAAACAACTATAATTAAAATTATGTCAGTAACAAGAGCAAGCATATTTTGGATATTTACTATTAATTATTTTAGTTGCATTATCTAATTTAAATTTAACAATTACCCAATGAGATAGTTACTCTTACTTTATTCATTTTACTAATAAATAAATTAAAGCTGTGAAAAGTTAAGCAACTTGCCAAAAGCCACAAGGCTGGCAACAAATGAAGAGAGAACCCAATTCCTACTCTGACTTCAGTCAGTGTATTAATTTCTTTATAATTATGTTATAATCTGGCCTCTCCCTTGAGTATCAGGTGAAGAAGCTTGGCACTGAAAGAAATTCTGGATGTGCTATGTTTATGAATAGATAAATTCAACGAACTGATCTTTTTTTATGTTCTAGAAATAAGAAGTTTCCTTACTATGGCCAGTAAGGCATGAAATAGCTATAAAATTTGATCTGTTTTGTGGGTGCAAGTGGTTCTAAACCTTTAAATTGTTGGATTGGCTCATTCATTCCTGCATAGTCACTCACATACAGAGGGGATGTTCATGCTGCTCTAGTGGGCAAGGAGAATTTGTATGAAATTTTGTCCTAATTATTTTAGAATTCTCTCTATATTGATAGCATTTAGATGTAAAGGTTCACAGCATGTGTGCTCTGAAAGGTAAGAGTGTGTCACAGATACATAGATGCAACATCCTTAGTAGTTAAGATTCATGTTCCAACAATTGTATGAATATTAACATATCAGATTAGGTTTTCTTTTTTAAAATTTTTTATTGAATTTTTGTGTATTTTATACAGAATATCTCAAAAAAAAAAATATCAAGCATCTTTATACCTCTTTCCGCACCAGCACGCTTCCACAGCCCCCTGACTGGAACCCATATACTCTGTCATCTGTATTAAAGTCCACTGTGTCAAGTCAGTGTCCCCAGACATTCCCCTGTGCAAGTCTATCCAATGAGGTCTACTCAACCTATCTAGAGTCTCTTGTTTTAGGAAGATCCGTTCTTCCTCACCCAGCAGCAATCAGCTGCCAAAGTTTATTCAGTTAAGATTGGGGTCTAAACCAATATTTAGATTAACCTAGGCTCATTCAAAAAGAGGATTGAATTTATACTCAACATGTTTAAAAGGTAGCTGTTACAGAAAACACACACAAAAAGGACAGCTATGAAGCTGAGACTTGAGGTCTGCAATTAGAACAACACTGGGGAAATGTTCCACCAGGAGCTAATTCTTTTCCAAGCATGAAGTTTTCTTTTCTCCTGTAGACTATGGTTAAGTGACTTGGATAAATAATAAAAGCGGAGGATTGAGTCTAGAATAGATTGTGTGTTGCCTTTTTATTTCTCCCTTGGTTGTTCTGGGTGATGAAAATTTTAGGCTGCACAGCTATGACTTTTTAAAAATTGTATTTTTTCCTGATCCCCCCATGAATAGCACTTTTTTTCCCAATTTGCAGGCAACAAAATATAGCTACTCTATAAGGTTTTCTTTGCCTTTTCCTTCTTTAGCATTTTATTTCCCAGCTCATTGTGGAACATAAACACTCCTAATACTTATTTCTTTCCCCTCAAGCTTTATATTTGTTGTTGGTGGTTTTTTTTTTTTTTTTTTTTTTCTGATTGATAGTCAGCTTCTCAGGGCTGGGAAACAGAAAAACAGTTTTGCCTTAGTCAGATAAGATGTGTACAAATAAAAAGATACCAAAAGCCTCAATTAAATAATGCCCAAGGGTCAAAGTAATTTCCCTCTTCAAAATAGCTGCCTTACTCAAAATGAGAATTTCTAAGTCTGAAGTGTGCTGTAGAAGACGTGCCTACTTACTTGAATGCCCTTTCAGATATAAAATAATATTAAAAGTAGAATTAAATGTGGTTTGCTAAAGTGGCACAGGGAATAATTTCATATGGTTACATTTTTGGCTCCATCTTTTCCTAGCCATTTTCTTTGAGTCTTATCTCAAATTTGCAAGTGCTGAATTAAGAGGTAGATTTCTTGACACATACATTTTATTACACTTCTTGCATTGTACTTTGGGGAAAACTTTGTTTCCATTGGTTCATTAATGTATTTTTAAACAATACCAACATTTTTCATCTCATATTGAAATGTAACATGTTCAATAACTAAAGCATAGAAAGACATAACACATCTCCCCCCCTCCTTCTAGACGGGAAGGTTGAAGTGACGAAGGAAGGCATGAAGCTGTGCACCATGGGTCCCGGAAAAGTGTTTGGGGAGCTGGCTATCCTTTACAACTGTACCCGGACAGCGACCGTCAAGAGTAAGGCTGCTTGCATATTTTTCAAGTACTTTCAGTGTCTTCTTTATCTCTACCTTTGGAGTGTTGATTTAATGCATATTTGCTGAATCTTAGTCCACACTGTAATTTTTGCTTTGCAATATGGTTGACATGTTTGTTTCCTACTAAAGCGCTATTGTTAAAGAGACAGTTCTACATAACTTACATTTTATTTCAGGCATGAAAATTATTTTTCTAATTAAGAAGTCTAATAGAACTTTTCTACTGAATTTTTGTGATTTTCATACAATATAATTTGATGGTATTTAGATCTCCTCCCCAGTCATGCACCTTCCTCTCTTGTCCCCCACCCAATTTAATGTACTGTATTTTATATATATAATAAGGCCTACAGAGTCTGATCTGTGTCTCCATATGTCCTTCAAAGTGGGTCCATCCACTGGAGCCTGTTTAATCTACCAAGAGTCCCATGCTTGAAAGAGACTGTCTCTGTCCCTCCCGGCAGCCATCTATGGCCACAGTTTCCTTAGTTGGGGTTAGAGCTTCTTACTCACTTGCTTATGTCTATGCTGGGATTTTTTTTTTTCTGGTTTGAGCGTGCCTGTATATGCTGTCACCACTGCTGTGAGTTCATATGATTACTGTTTCCTTGTGGTGGTCTACCACCTCTGGCTCTTAGAATCTTTCTGCCTCCTCTTCCATAAAGATCCCAGAGCCTTGGGAGGCAGAAGTTTGATATAGGTTTCTTACTCAGGGACAAGCACACTGCAGCCTCTTGTTCTCTGAAAGTTGGTCAGTTGTGAGTTTCTGTGTTAATTACCATCTGTTGAATAAGGAAACTTCTCTGGTGAGAATTGTGAGATGCATTAATCTTTAGGTATAAGTCATTAAGAGTCAGTTAAATACCATAGCTATTTATTAGAAAATGAATATTAGGTTTTCCCCTGTCCTGTGACCTGTCTAGCGTCAGGTTCCTAAGCCTGAAATCAGTGTCAGGTATGGATTCCATCCTAGGAACCAGACCTTACATCCAATTAAAGAGTGGTTGGTTACTCCCATAATATTTGTACCATTATTGTACTGGTGGCACATATTTTGCTAGGCCAGTTGTTATTGTAGTTCACAGGATTCACAGCTGGGTAAAGCTGATGGCTATTTTTTTTCCTTCTAGTACCATACATAGCACCTTCAAGCACTATGAAAGCTAGCTAGTAGAGACGAGGCCCTGAAGTCTGCACCAGCTTGATTTCTCCTTGTTTGTTCTACAGCTCATGCATACAGTGTCTTCAGCAGTAGGGTCTTTTTATCCAGCTTTGATGTATAACCAAGAGTAAGGCAATGGCCAGTAGTGTTGAAGGTCAACAGTTTCTAGAGAGGGAGTCCATTCCTGGCATTGAGGTTTGTTTTTATCATTAGCTTATGATATCTATAAAGGGCAATGCCCCCTATTAATTATAGGATAGCTCCTTTTAATCTCATTATATGCATATATATGTATATGTATACTTTAAGAAGCTTCTATAGTGGTAGGTTTCCATATGGCTTTTTCGAAAGGCCTTTAGTGTTACTTATCCCTCCCCATATTCCCTCCTCTTCCGTTTCCTCCCATTTCCTAGATTAATGTTCCCCTTTCTTACTTCAAAAGTTGTCTAATTTTAAAAATTAGAGTTAACCAGGAGAAAGGCCTTTCCTTTGTCCTGGTAAAATCTCAGGACGATATTTAAGAAATTGTTCAAGTAATTTTAGATTACGTGATCCATATAAACCTGACTTGTTGATTCTGTGATTTAAAAAAATATAAGTCAAGAAATGTCCTGTGCCTCATTCAGACATCACTAAATAAGACACACCCTGGGTTCTATAACTGCATCTGGGTGTATTTTAGTTTTCAGCTGCTCACCAAGCTGCATATTGTAGCAGTTTTTCTTTCCTCTGATTGAGCTTATTTTAAATCCAGTAATAAAGCAGCTTGTTTCCCTGATCTTACATGTATGTGTCTGTGTGATTTCACTACTTTTGTTGCTTAGCACAAGCAGCTGGAGCAGCAGTCAGAGGGAAGATTTTATTTTTTAAGAAACATCTTCCTGAGTAAAAGCATAAGGACTGTATTTAAAAATACAGGAAAACTCAAAAGCCAACATAGAAGTTTGGATCATCTTCAGGCAGATATGAGTATTTCACATGTGAAAAGTCTATGTAACACATTATCCTGTAGAACATCGCAATTGCAAATTATCATGAGTAGGTCTTGTTTTAAAAAAAGATAACTTGGAAAATGACAAGCTATAGTATTAATTTTACCTAAGGAGTTTGTGTATTTTTTCTCAAAAGTACACTTTATGACTGGCAATATGACTGGCAATATGGCATTAAGTCACAAACTGTAAAAGGCTCAAGTATGCAAGGCCACCCTGAGTCCCAGATGTGGCTCTCTATAGCTTTAGTGACCTTTCTCCCAGTGAAGCTGCACTGGGGCTTCTTCAGGATGGGTCCTTCTCGGCACTAAATTATTGATCTCAGACAAGAGAAGCCTCTTCTGATTCACAAGGGCTTCATGTGTTCAGCTCATATGAGCATTTAATTACATGACTAAAAGAATAATGAGACCCAGGGAAACAGAAGAGAGCTTGCACCATGTTACCTCACTTATAAAGAGCCTTCGCTGAAAAAAAGAGCAATTACGACTCCATTAAGCAAAACAGATTTTACTATTATGCTTCACTTTCATAAGAGATATATTTTTAGGGCAAGTAAAGGGTGTGAACAGCACATTTTAATTAGAATATTCTTTCTTGGAGTAACTTTTTGTTGTTTTAAAATTTTTAAATATTTCAGCCTTGTATGTTTCACATTGAATGTAATTGGAACCACAAATTTCCCAAAGGTCAACATATGGTAATAACATAGTACTGAGTCTTATGAAATATTTAGTTCTTATTAAAGAAATATTTTAAATAGACTGTTTAAATGGCTTTTACGGCTAATGAGATGATTGCTTTGCTTTATAAAGATCAGTTTCAGTATTCAGGTTCAATAAAATGGTGCTCATCTTCCCTAACTGCTAAGTACTCGCTTTTGTCAAATGTAGATGGGCTCTACGCATCTGATTTAGTAAGAACAAGCTGGGTGCTGAATGTAAATTATACTCCTATCTATTTTCAGGTCAAAATATCCAACACCAAGGGAAATGAGTGATGAAGGTTGTTTTCCTTGAATATAGACTGAGCAGTACTCAAGAGCGTGCCTGTGTATGTGCATGTTCATGTTACTTCATAGTGCTTAACGTATGAAGGATGTGTGGAGAAAAAAGACTCATTCTTAGGGTACACAAAAGTATCTTGGTATTTGTAGGTGTGGATGTTTGAATGTACATATAAAATATTTCTTGTGAAGATCTATTTTTTCTGACTGTTATTAGAGCTATAATGTATGAAAAATGATTGTTTATTTTTCAGTATCATTTGTCCTGTCTCGTTTCTTGTCCAGGGAGACTGCACTCATGATTGTAGGCCTTAAGTACCATTTTTCAAGTATCATTGTGTTGAAATTAAACCTACAGGCTGAAAACTTTATAACTTTGATTAGAATACATCATGGATGCTACTTGTACAAAATGCCTACAGAATTTAGCACCAAGATAGTCTTACTATTTACATGTGAGATTTTAAAATATCTCTAAACATATTTGGCTTTGTGGGTCCAGTCCTTTATTAGTATTCAGTATTGTATCAACAGCACTGGCTGTTCTAGCAAAGAACACAGGTTTGTTTCTTAACACTAATGTGGTGGCTAACAACCATCTGTAACTCCAATTCTAGGGGATCCAATGCCCTCTTCTGTTCTCTGCAGGCACTGCATGCATGGGTGCACTTACATACATGCAGGCAATACACTCATACACATAAAATTTAAAAAAGTGATTTTTAAAATGGCTTTAAAAAGAGAGACAAGGTAGTAATTATTAAAATTATTATCATTCCTGAGTCTTGTTTTTTTTCCTTCCTTCCTTCCTCCCTCCCTCCCTCCCTTCCTTCCTTCCTTCCTTCCTTCCCTCCTTCCCTCCTTCCATCATTCCTTCCTTCTAATGATAAAGAATAAATCCAGGGCCTTGACCATGCTAGGCAAGTACTCTTATCACTGAGTTATACATATCTAGTCTTCTTGAGTCCTAGATTTTAACTATTATATCTTAAAATTAATAAATTTTTAAAGGACTTAATAATGCTATTTTACAATTTGTCTTTCTGGTTAAAGAACTTTTTATATTTTTACTTTAAACTTCACATTTAGTATTTGAGTTTTTAAAATAATTTATTGAGAATTTCATACAGGGATATAAGCATATAAAGTGTTTTGATCAAATCCATGCCCATTCCCTCCCCTCTAACTCCTCCCATATATCCCCATCACTTTTTTTCTGATAATTTCTTGTACTCTTTCTTCTTTTTTTAATGGGGATTTTTGCTACTCTAATACTCCCCCCTCTAAGAGGTAGCCCTAAAATCTTTTAAGGATTAGACAAGAGCTCCCAAATACTTTCAACATTTTTGGCCTTTGGAATGGAATATGTTGCTAAGAGGCCCAACATTTTGAATTTTAGCCAAGAAGCTGGCTACTTTTCTTTGGGTCTTTTTACCCTAACTGCCTAGCCAGTTCCTACCTCCTATTCTTACCATACCATCCTCTGAAGAGGTTACCCAGTTTGTGCATAGGGAATCAGGACACAGACCACTCTGGCTTCTTCCATGCTGAACAGGGACACAGGGTGAGGTAATTGGGGTACCCCTTCAGTGGGTCTATCTAAAAGTCTCCCAAATTGCATAACTCTTACCTGTAGAGGGAAAAGAAAGCCCTTGACTGGTGAATAGGAGATGTGAAGGAGAAGTAAAGGCAACAGGAATTAGCATTACAAGTTCTGGACAGGAAACTAGAGAAAAGTCAGAACAGGGAAAATTTCAAATGTTCATATGAGAGTCCATTGGAATTTCTTGATGAGAACTTTGAAAAACATCCATCTATTG